TTGAATAAACGGGCGTGGCAGAACACCAACACAATGCGAGGAAATGGGAGCGGCAAATGCCGTCTCCCCGTGAACGGGCGTGGCAAATGCCAACGGCCCGTGAAAAGAGGAAAGGGCAAATGGGGGTGGCAACACCATGTCCCCGTGAAAAGCCCAATCGAGATAGTAAAGCAAGCCAACATCTGAGGGTTCCACGTCTCTGGCAGCCTTTTCCTGATTGTAGCGACCTCAGAGTGAAACGGCCGAGAAGCATGCCAAGAAGAAGAAGAAGAAGCGAGAAGAGGATTCGGCCCCCGGCAAACCGTTGGCTGGATTGAAGCCACGTCCTGCATGGCAGCACAATGCGAGGAAATGCAAAGCGAACCTCCGAGCAAGATCGAGCCATTGGCAAGCGAGAATCCTTTTTTATCCGGCCGAGCAGGTCAAAACCCGGACCTCCTGCCCGCTTGTAGTGCAGCTAGTTTAGGGTTTAGGGTTTAGGGTTTATGGTCCTCATGGCAGGAGGCCCCCTCAAAAATTCGCGGCCCGAAAGGCTCGATCCTCGGATCAGTCGGCCTCCCAATCCGGGGACTCCGGATCATCGAAGTCGCTGCAGCACATCATCATCCGCGCCTTCTTCGCCGGCCTGGGTAGGGCTTAGCTTAGGGTTTGGAGGGTTTTTAGGTTTAAGGTTTCGAGTTTAGGGTTTAGGGCTTTTGGGTTTAAGGTTTAGAGTTTAGAGTTCAGGATTTAGGGTTTGGGGTATTGGATTTAAGGTTTAGAGTATAGGGTTTGGTTTTGGGTGGCAAGGATCTGTGCCACCGCCGGCGACATCATTGCAGCATCCCGTGGCGGGGCCGACGAGGTCGAGATCGTGATCGGCTGCTGCCTCGGTTGCATTGGGTTTAGACCGGGTTCAGTTTAAGGTTTTCAGGGTTTGGAGTTTGGAGGGTATAAAAGGCTTGAGACAAGGATCTGGAGAGGCCCGACGGACGTGTCCTCGAAGTGCAGCTGGTCCATGCGGGCCGTCCTGGGTTTAGAGATGTTTTTTTT